ATGTGTTTATTGAGTGTCAAATGAAAACCCATAGCCTTTTGAGTGAGTTCATTAAGAATGCTTCATGGGAGAGAGACCATTTTGAAATGAATTTGCATCCATTCATGCATGGCTTTGAGATTTTAGGCTTTAAGGAAGTTAAGGGAGTTGTTGTTCATGATTGTAGTGAAGGGGATTATGTAGTTCCTCTTGGAAGTTGGATGTTTGAGGGAGATCATGATCATGAGTGTTCTTCTTTTGAGGATTCTATGATTGATTTTCATGCTCAAATTGGTGATTTGAGGAATGGTGGTGAAGAAGAGACCATTTGTAAGACCATTGCTCCTATCCCCTTCTCTCATGTCCCTTTTTCAAGGAATTTCAACCATATCCCCTACACTCCTATATCCCTTCCTTCCTTTGTTAATGAGCCTATTGGGGACCCCCTTGCCTATGAAGATTTTCATGTCCCTCATTCGTCTTCTATTGAGGAAAAGGGTGATTTTGCCACCCAAAAAGATTTTTGTGAAGAGAGTTTGCCTTTCTATTCTTTTTCTGATTTTCTTGAATTTTCTTTTGATTCTTCTTCTTCTTGGAAACTCCCTCTTCACCTTTTTTTGCGTGCACTAATCTTGGTGCATGCCCTTCTTATATCATTTGCTTACTTGTTATCTTATGAGATGTGTAGTAGTGCATTTGACAAGCTCTTGCGATCGTTGCAATATTATTTACTAGAGCGGTCAAGTTTGGACCTTAAGCAAGCCTTTCTCGGGAAGTAACCCGTGTTTTATTGCTTTCATTTTCTTTTCTTTTTAGAATAGTTTTTGGCCTCATGGAAATGTTTGTGTGCTTGGTGCTAGGTACATAACTTAATATACTCTTATGCATTGGTTTGGATCAAGAATCAAGGAAGTTTGACTCCACTTTTGCTAGCACATGGAAAACAAGATTCAATTTTAGAGGTAGTCGGCTTCAAGAAGGTTTAATTGGGTCATTTGCGGGTACTATACCCACCTAATATCCGGTAGTATCCTTCCTTGCTCTTCCTCTAATGATTTGTGACTTGTTGGACATATGTTGGTTGGTTGGATGACTTTCTTTCTTTTCTCCTCCCATGGATTCTTTGGTTTAAAGTTTGAGCATGTTGCCTCATTCAAGCTTGGGGGAGGGTATTCTATCATGTTTGGTGGAATTTTGATTCATATATGCCATGCACATTTGTATATGCATTTCCATTTTCTTTATTTTGAAAATTCCAAAAAGATTTTGTTTCTATCAAGGCAAATTTGCATTGTGTTTTGTTTTGTTCTTACTTTTGACATAATACGCTTGGACTTGTATTCTTGAATGTCTTTATTCCTAAATTTTAAAGGTATGCACGGTTTGAGAATGTGTTAGGTTGACTCTAGGATATGATATGCTAAGGTAGTTGTTAAGAACTTTGAGACCATGAAGCCCTAGTTCACTTGCTTGTGGTAAGATGGAGTTGCTCTCTATGGTGGATATGAAATCAAGAGTTAGTTATTGCTATCCCTAGTGAGGTAAATTGTTCAAGCCTTCATCATACTTTGTTGAGCGGCATATTTGGATCCTTGGTTATTGCATTCTCGTATCTAGAACTTGACTTTTAGGTCCCAAGATCGCGACCGTGCCACTTTAGGGGATGACAAAGGAATTTCTCTTTTTATAGGATAGATTTTCTATTTTTGAGTTTAGTTTATATTTGCCCCTCTTGCTAGCCCTTTTGAGCCATATACCTTCTTTTCTCTAGCCACAATACAAGCCTTGAAGCCTTGGTTTCACTTTCTACCTTTAGTTTTGTGAAGCAATTTAGTTTTCGAGCTTGTTTTATTGTTTATGGTGCAAGTTTAGAATTATGAGTTTATTTGCAAAGCAAGTATGTGTTGTATATAAGTTTGTGCATAAAAGCAAATGCATTTTGAGAAAAAGTCGTCCAAAGTTAAAGAGGCAAGGACTTTTTTTTTTTTTTTTTTTTAAAAAAATGTCGAAAAAAAAGGGGTAAAAGAAGAATGAAAAGCACATAATGATTTTGCTATAGTTTTTTTTTTTTTTTTTTTTTTTTTTCCCTATTTTTGTTAGTTTGTTTTAAATAAGCTTGGGGGAAATTTATTTTATGAGCATAGTTGGTACTTTTGTTTTGGATTCGTTTGGATCTTGTGGAAAAAGTTCCACCCGAGCTTCACATGTAGGTTTACCACCAATTTCAAAAGTTTTCCACACCTTTACTCTCCTAGCCTGTGTATTACAACCTTGAAAGTCCTTTTGATCCTAGAGGGTTAAGTCATTTAGTGGTGGCGAGAAATAGGAATCAAGCCTATAGAGCGAGTTTGCATAGCCAAGATGTTGGGTAACCTTCTCATGTTTTGAATTTCTTACTTATTTTCCGGTTCCTTCGTGGAATCATGAGAAGCTAACTTGAAAGTGGATTTGAAACCTGTAGAGAGGACGTGGTTTGATTGGTTGGAACAAAAGGTGGAATGTGTTTCCGTTAGTTCTCTATGCTTAGCATATGTTATGTTTCAATCAACCTTGGACATCTTAGAACGTGCATACCTTTATTTTTTAGAAAGATTGACATTCTTTAGTGCTTGTCCCATCATAAAAGTCCACTTAAGAACGCTTGTAACCTCTCTTTTACTTCAATTTATTTTATCTATTTTTTTTATTGCTTTGCCTTGATTTTTGTCAAGAGTTATGGGTTAAACTTTTAGGATACCCTTACGAGAGCATACTCGTCCTCTAGAGCGATCTATGGGGTTTAAAGTGCTTGATGCATGCGCTAAATGCATTCGTGATTCCTACGAAAGTGAGTTAGTGTATATTCTTTCTCTTCTAGTTTTATTTTTTTAAAAAAAAAAAAAAAAAAAATATACATCGTTTTCCGTTGTGTTTGTTTTGTTTTGCTCGAGGATGAGCAAAAGTTAAGCTTGGGGGTGTTTGATGAGTGACATTTATGTTACCCTTAGGGGTAGTGTATTGGTCTCTTTTCTCCTGTTTTTCTTAGGTTTTCTACCTCTTTTCTCCTCTTATGGCTTCCTTTTCTTTTATGGATGAAAAGTATGCTTATTTGCGCTTGTTTTGATAATCTTTATGCATAATTTTATCATCCCCATGCTCTCGTGATCTTTGCTATCTTTTGCAGGTTCCATGACGGTCCTAAGCACGGTAGGAGGCCCCTTGGCCAAGTATGGAGGCATGGACAAAGACAAGAGGAGCAAAAGGGAAGAAGAGGAAGCAAGAAGAGGAAGTTCAAGAGGAGGTGTGACCACACCTCTAAGAGGTTCGGTCGAACCTAGGTGTGGTCAAACTTTTGAAAAGTTCGACCGAACCTCCAAGGCAGTTTCAACCAAGTTTTCAGCATGTTTACAGGAGGGGTCGAACCAGGAAAGTTCGACCAAACAAGGATCAGGGAGGTTCGACCGAACCTACCCTGAGTTCGGTCGAACCTACCCTGAGTCCGACCGAACCTACACAGAGTTCGGTCGGACCTTTTCCCGTTTCAGCTGACTTTTTGCGGAGCTTCCTAAGCAATTTTGTAAAGGGTATAAATAGATTTTTTACTCATTAAAGAAAAAAAGGAGATTTTTCAGTTTAGAATAGTTTTTAGGTTAGTTTTAGGTTTTTAGAGAGAGAAACTCTCAAATTTTGGAGAGAGAAAGTGAGGAGCACAATGGTTTTCATGGATTTTGGATAATCAAAGGAGGAATTTGATGATTTGAAGATCTCCATTTTATATCAATGAGCATTTCTTACTCTCTTCTCTCTTTATGCTTTATTAATTGCTTTGTTAATCATGTTTGAGTAGATTTCCTTCTACTAGGTGTTGAGTGAAGCTTTGTTATGGTTAATTGAGTTATTTGAGATAAATTTGATGATAATTGTGTGATTAAATTGATTGAATTGATGTTGGCATGTTGTTTGTTTTAGATTGGATTGATCTCCCATGATAGCACACTTAATTGCATATTGGTTTTAGTTTGACAAGGTATTGTGAATTAGAATTGATATATTTGATTGCATTTTGGGTAAATTTCTTCTATGCACCTAGTCAATGAGGGATCTAGGCTAGGAATTTGAGAGATTGCTCTTGATGGTAATTAATTCCCATTTTAATTCTTTCTTTGCATGATTGATTATCAAATCGATTCCCATTAACTTGTTAATTGTTCAAAGTGGATCTTTTCCCCTAGTAGACTTTATCATACCATGTTCTTTATATGTGTTTTAGTGTAGTTGTAGTGTCCTTTATCCGTAAATCGACTTCGGCATAGCTTAGGCATTAGATTAAGAACAATCTAGCATTACCGTTCCTTGTGGTTCGACTCCGAACTTACCACTAGACTTGTTTAGGGGTTAGTTTTAGGATTTATAAATTTATTTGATTGAGTGTGGAATGTGCGACCGTTCTAACGCCCGTCAAATATTCATTTCAATATACTGAAAAAGCATCACAGCCAAACACAACACCTACCAGGACCATTATTTTGTACAATTGTCCCCAACCTTACTACTACTACATAATCAAGGGAAATGCTCCATTCCCAACTCTCTCTCTCTCTCTCTCTCTCTCTCTCTCTCTCTCTCTCTCTCTCTCTATTCTCCTTCTCTCTACATATTTAAACTAAACCAAGTAAAGATTACCGTACGAATATTCAGATACCTAAACCCTAAATCAAAACCCTAAAAATTAAATGTGCGAAATTTAAATTAGTTAACATATTACCTCCTTCAACAAGGCTTCAAGGGCTAAAGATCATTGTTCGTCGTCATCTTCTTGCTCGCGGGTTTCGATCAGTGGGTCTTCGGGGTCTTCAATGGTAGCTGGGTCTTCGTGGTCTTTAATGGCAGTTGTGTCGCAATCCAAAAAAACACCTGTACAACGACCACCACCGTCTTCGTCATTGTTTGTTAACAACGAATCCTCCATCACCAACATTTTCCTCGCCATTTTCACTGATTAATTCGTCATCAAAGATGTTGGTGATGGAGCTTCAAGAGCGATGGTGATGGAGGTTCAAGAGCAACTAATAAAGAAAGGTAAAAGGGGGAAATTAAAGACAGTAAGAAAGGTAAAAGGGGAAAAGAGAAAGTAAAAAAAAAAGGGGAAAGTTAAAAGGGGGAAAAGGTACTCGTATAATACAATTGTATTATACTTCCCTCCAATACAACCATTTACCTTTTTTTTTACTAAAGTGCTTCCTTTTTACTGTAGCATGGGACCCCCTCCGTTTTCTTTTCCTTCTCAATGGCACCTGTTTGGAGTGTTATGCATTCCTTATGCATATCAACACTTCATTTAGACTTCCTCCACAACACTCCAATAATACTTCCTCCTAAAATTATATTCTTGTAAATAAAATATGCTGAATTCTAGCATATTACTTTAGCTTGTAAATATTATATATACTTTCCAAGTCAATGAGAATAATAGAACTTATCTCAATATCTTTTCTTATTCTCTACATGGTATCAGATTCTATGATCCTAAAACCCTATCCTCTAATGGCATAACCACAAGCACTTACTGCAAATGTTAGTATATCCCCCTCTCCGTCTACATGGATCCTTGACAGTGGTGCATCACACCATATATCACAAACGATCTCAACAATTTAGATGTGCATCTCCCTACAACGACACAAAGGAATTAATCCTTGGTGATGGTACAGGTTTAAAATTTTCTCACATTGGTTCTCTTTCTTTTTCTCATTCATTCTTTTCTCTCAAACTGAATAACGTTCTTTATGTTCTTTCAATGGCTCATAATATCATTTAAATCTCTCAATTTTTTATTGACAATTATGCATCCATACAATTCCTATCAACATCTTTTCTTGTAAAAGGATCTCAAAACAGGGGTATGTCTTTTCCAAGGTCCAATAAGATTGGGAGTATATAAAATAAAATCTACCCCACGGACCTGTCAATCGGGTCGATCGGGTCGGGTCACTCCGGATCACGGGTCATTTCGGGTCGGGTCACGGATCGAGAATTGCTCAACCCTAACCCAAAGTTTTTGGTTCGGGTCAACCCAACGAGTTTACAACAATTTTTTTTAGCTAATTTTAAGAAATTTATGATATTTTTAAGCTTACTTTGATATTTTTTTTTTTATTGAACGAGTGTAGGCTATGTAGTTGATGGCATGAGGGTGATGTAGGTTATGCAGATGCAATTGGTGTGGGTCAATAATTGATGTAGGAGGTGGTTGGTGTGGATCTGAGCAAGAGTTATATGAGATAGATAGATGAGAGGGAGAAATGAATGTCTCGTGATAGACAGATGATCAAATTCGATAGATAAACTAAATATTAATTTTCAAATAAATGTATTTTTTTAGAGAAACCCATAAAAACGGGTCGGCGGGTCGGGTTTGGATTCAGGTCGGGTTTGACCCGCAAATTTACGGGTTAAATCGGGTTTCGGATCAAATATTTGTTCAAGACCCACAAAATCGGGTCGGGTTTAAGTCGGGTTGAAATTTGACAGGTCTCAAGTTTTCATCACAATCATTAAACCTAATTCACTTTATTGGCGCCATCGCTTAGGGCATCCATCACAAAGAGTATTTAGACAACTTATTTCCTTAAACAATCTAAATGTCTCTAGCATCTCTACCTTGGATTGCAATTCTTGTATGTGCTTGCAATAAGAGTCATCAATTATCATTTTTAGTCTATTCTATATCCTCTACCGCCCCTCTTCAATACTTTTACACCGACCTGTGGATTGCTCCCATTTATTCCCACTATGGATATAAATATTATGTGATTTTTGTTGATCATCATACCAAGTATATTTGGATATACCCTTTGAAACAAATATCAGACACTAAAAACATTTTTATCAAATTCAAAGCCTTAGTGGAAAAATATTTTCAACTTCCTCTTATCACATTATACTATGACAATGAAGCATTAAAAGACTATTTGGTCGTTGATGGGATTTCAAGACTAACCACTCCACCTCACACTCCCTAACAAAACGGTTTATCAGAGCGATGTCATAAACATATAGTTGAGACATTTCTTTCCCTCCTTACTCATGCAAATAGGCCTCTAGAATATTAATCAAATATGTGTGTTATGGCCGCATATTTGATAAATCGTCTACCCACACCTACTTTAAAGAATGAGCCACCTTACTCAAAGTTATTTGGGATTAAGCCTAATTATCATAAATTAAGGAGTAATGGGTGTCTTTGCTATCCTTGGTTAAAACCTTATACTAAGCACAAACTAGAACCAAAATCGACTCCATGTGTCTTCATTGGGTACTCTTCTACTCAAAGTGCTTCTTATTGTCTTGATCTTAAAACACACAAAGTATTCACATCACGGCATGTTCATTTTGTTGAGCATAAATTTCCTTTTTCTGACTTAGTACAACCTAGACTTCTCTTCCAACTTTAATTGAAGTGGTGTCAAATTTCCTTACCTATTATTACCAAGCCTACTCATGAACCAACACCACCTATTTCCGCTGTTTCACTCCCCACTCCAAATTCTCTCACTGACTCAAATTCACAAAGCCCACCAACTTTACCAAGCTCACAAATTTCTTCAATATTGTCATTTAATGACATGGACAGTAGTCCCTCCTCACAATCTAACTCCCTTACACAACCCTCACCTTCAAATACTCCCACTTATCCTCAACCAACACATACAATGACCACAAGACTCCAAAAAGGCATTCGAAAACCAATTAGTAAAACTAATCTGAATGTGGAGAACCAAAAAATCATAGCACAAAAAAGTCCGGTGTGGCGCAAAGCAATGGATGAGGAAATTCTAGCCTTAACTCGAAATAAAATTTGCATCTTGCTCCTCCCACATCATCACATAATGTTGTTAGTTGTAAATGGATTTTTCGAACTAAGAAGGATAAGGATGAGAATATTATTCAATACAAGGCTTGGTATGGGGATTTAATCAACGCCCGAGTGTTAACTATAGTGAGACTTTTAGTCCCGTAAGCCAGCCACGGTTCATCTTGTCCTCTCTTTTGCAGTCACCTAAGGTTAGCCTTTACGGCAATTAGACTAAACAATTCCTTTTTACAAGGTACTCTCACCAATGAAGTCTACACTATACAACCTCTAGGTTATGTTGATCCACAATATTCAAATAATGTGTGCAAATTAAACAAAGCTCTTTATGGCTTGAAACAGGCCCCAAGGGCTTGGTACAAAGAATTACGACAACATTTGATTACTTTAGGGTTCAAAAATACGGTGTCAGACTCTTCGTTGTTCACTCAACATACTAATGGTTTGATTATTTACTTCTTGGATTATGTAGATGACATTATTGTCACAAGTAATGACCCTAAATTTCTTGAAGGATTTGTGCAAAAGCTCTCATTTCGTTTCTCGCTAAAAGACCTCGGTGACTTGTCTTACTTTCTTGGAGTTGAGGTCATGCCTCATTCAAATGGGTTATTTTTAAGTCAGAGGAAGTATATTAATGATATTTTGCACAAAGCAAATATGGAAGATGCTAAACCTATTGCTACTCCATTGGCAACTCATCCTCCTTTAACAATGCATGGTAAATTGCTAACGGATCCTACTGAATATAGGACATTGATTGATTGGCAGTGTAAAATACTTGATTCTTATGCAGCCCGACATTGCCTTCACCGTGAATAAGCTGGCTCAATATATGCAATGTCCAATCGAATACCACATGCAATCTCTACGACGCCTTCTACGCTACTTCAGTGGGACTTCCCACATGGGACTTCTTTTAGACAAAGACTCTCCTCTCACATTACATGCTTACTCTGATGTGGATTGGGCTCAGCTTGGGATAAGGATGATTATATTTCCACAACAACCTACATTGTTTACCTTGGCAAAAATCCCATCTCTTGGACGTCTAAGAAGCAACGTACTCAGTGGCGTATAAAGCCGTAGCAAATGGTACAACAGAAATCCTATGGATACGTAACTTATTTCTAGAGCTCGATCAAAAGTTAACACAACAGCGCGTAATCTATTGTGATAATGCTGGAGCAACTTATGTTAGTGCCAATCCTATTTTTCACTCGATAATGAAGCATCTAGGCTTGGACTATCATTTTGTATGCGAAAATGTTCAATCTGGTCAACTCCGAGTGGCTTACATCTCTACCAATTATCAACTTGCTAATGTATTAACAAAACCGCCACCGAGTTTACCAACTTGATCCGTAAAATCAGTCTTTACTGTTTGCCGACCATTTCGAGGGGGCGTGATAAGGATTGACTATGTCAATATCAATCCTTGAATATATTGTAATTATCTTAGGGATTATTCTCCTATAATAGAGCTAGAATTATATTCTTGTAACTAAAATATGCTTATTCTAGCGTATTACTTTAGCTTGTAAATGTTATACTTCCACCGTTTTTATATTATTGCACCATACAAGTTAGGAATTTGCGGTGTGAACTTAGACTAGATAGTGGAAAAAAAGAAGAGAGAGAAAGGTAAAAATAAAAAAGTGTTCATGTGATATAAACTTAGACTAGATAATAAGTGTGAACGAAAAAGTACGGGTATGTTGGGTATTTGCGGTGTGAACAAAGATTGATTGTCCTGAAATGGAAATGGTGCAATTTTTGTGAAACTTCCTTGAAAGGCAAGTGATGCAATATTAAAATAACGAAGTAAGTATATATTTTCCAAGTTAATGAGAATAATACTTCCCTTAATATCTTTTCTAATTCTCTACACCGCAAAATAGCATCTTCAATGTTGCGTATAAAAAAGGGTTTTTTTGCTACCAGGTATCTTTTTTTTCTTTTGGCTATGTGATATAATATTTTAAAAAATCACAAAAAGTCATGTAGTCCTTTTTCATATCTACATCTCTCTAAAACAAAAGCTTGTTAGTGCCATGTCTTCATCAACCTAAAAATCAAAGTAGAAGTCTTCCTCATTATGTTACCTACTCTTAAATATATCGATCAATGTTTTAGCATCACAACCATAGCGGTTTTTTTTTTCCAATAGCTTGATATATATGCATCTTCCATACTAAAATCAAGTGTTGGACAACTTTTTGCTTTCGATGTAAGATAGCGTAATCATTTGCAACACCGTACCAACACCATTCTTCTTCAATTCAAATAAGTATTTCACTTGGGCTAATACTTCTATGGGATTGAATATGGTGCACTAAGCCAGGAGGCAAAGCTACTCATTATTATGCTCCATTTTAATTCTTACAATGAACGATCGATTATTTTGGTTTATTTTGGTGCACTAAGTCAGTCTTTGTATATAATTTGTCAACAATTTACCCTTCTCATGTTTAAAACCTATCTTATTGCAACACATTTCCCTACTCTTTAAAACCTTTGTTTCTTCTATTTTGTTCAAAGACATGTTCCAAATCCAATTCTAAATGATCTTTGTATAACGCATAAGTTTCTCTTACTGAAGCAATTGCTTTATATGTTGCTTCCAAAACTGATTTAACCTTTTAATGTTCTCATTTTTAACTATATCAAATAATTTAATTTGGTTAGTATAATAAATTATTAAACTTTTTTCAAAACAAATGACCAAATTTAGAAGAATGACAACTAGTTATTGGCCAGGGTGATGCCCCGGTACATCATAAATTTATAAGTTTGATCAAAATTAATAGAAAGGTTAGGTTAATATTGAACAATATTAATAAATGAATCAAATATATATAATAATCTATATTATCGTTCATTAATTTATTTAAAATATGTCAAATTTAAATATAGAGTCTATATGTATGAAGAGTTTATCAAATAAATTAAATATTATGATAGAGAATCAAAGTCACAATATTGAAGAGTTTTTCAAGTTTACTATACATTACTACAATTCAATGTAGTGTAAAAATAGTTATGACACATAGTGTGATACTTGGTGCTGTGGCATTAAATAATAAGTAAGGGTGACACATGGCGTTAGCATGTTATCCCTATGAGTTTTAATAATAGTATAAATTTGCGTAACTTTAAATTTCTCTCATTTATTAAAATAAGCATATTTATAGAGCTCATTTTGTACAAAAATAGTAGAGCTTTTGCTCATTTTTTTTTTTGACAAATGAGAATTTTTTGAAAAAGTTATGTTGCTATTTCTATCATAATTTTTATTTTGACTTTTAACACCATAAAAAAACAAGAAATTTTTTTTAAAATTGTCATGATTAATCCCAACTTTCGTTTATTTTTTATTAATACCAACTTTTTACCCAATCCGCTCCCATTACACCCAACCGGTCATTCAACTTGTAATAACAAATTACCAAACACGTGTCAACACGTGATAGGTCAAAAAAATTTAAAAAAAATTAAAACCCTAACCCCTACCCAGCAAGTGGCAGCTCCTGTCTCCTCCGGCCCCCTTCCCTTCCCCGTCCCCCTCCCCTGTCCAATTCTGGCACTCGCCCGCTCCTCCTGCTTCCTCTAGTGGTGGCGGTTGCTGCGGCCACTAGTACTGATGCTAGCTACTAGATCAGTTACTGCGGCAACTGTTGCTGCTGCTGCCACTGCTACTGATGTTGTCTTCTGTTCAACCACCCTCGATCTCCTTTCCCCCTCCGTTTTCACCAACACCTCATCCCCATCCAACTCCTTCAACCACCCTCGATCTCCCTTCCCCCTCCGTTTCCGCCGCCTTCCGCGTCAGTTTCCGCCCTCATTAACCTTCCCCGTCGAATTCCAACTAGATCCCTCTCAACCCCTTCCAATTCCAACATCCCCCAACCCTTCCCCCACCGTTTCCGCCCCTTCCATTCCCTTTCACTCGCGGATTCCGCCCTTCTTTCCTTTCCCCGTTCAATTTCGACCACCCTGCTAAATTCTCCGTCGAATTCCGGCCACCCCCTCCCTTCCCCTCCCCGATTCCAGCTGCCTTTAATGGTGGCTGTCGTTAAGGGTGACTGTCATTAAGGGTGGTTGCTCTTTCTTTCATTAATTTTGGTTTTTTTTTAAATTTTGGTATTTTTAAATATTTGACCAATCACGTGGTGACAGGTGTGCGAAAAAATCCAAACTCACAAATGTTAACCTGCTTAATTGGTTGCAAGTTACTTGGTGCAATGGGAGCGGATTGGGTACAAAGTTGGGATTAATATAAAGTAAACAGAAAGTTGAGATTAATATTGATGGACGGAGCAAAGTTGGGATTAATGATAACAATTTTTCTTTTTATTAAAACACCACAAAAAAAAATTAAAAAAAATAAAATCAAATTACCACCACTTAGCTGAATATTGGATGAAATCAGTTAGTGGGGCCCACAATGTCGACATGTCGCCATATTATTGGTCTGAAAAAAGGAAAAAAAAAAACAAAACAAAACCCTAAAACTAACCCAGCCACCCCATCCCCATCACTGGTTACGCAACCGTTGCCCCTACCCAACCTCCGACACCCCCCTTCCCAGCCCAACAATTGAAACCCCGCTTCCCCCACCCCAAAACCGACAGCTACCCCATTCCCCCACCCAAAACAATCGGCCATCTATAAACACTCCAAAAACGGCTGCTAGCGGTCAAAATTGACCGGTTTAGGGCCTCTGTGGCCGAAATCTTATTATATTCTTCAAAGAAAAAATAATGCAACATTTGGAGATGACTGAGATCTCGGGCAAATAAACTAATTTTTTAGGAATGAAAGAGCATCAAAATGAAAATGGAAATTTCTTCTGTCAGCAAAATAAAATATGTTGAAGAAAATCTATATGGAAAATTGCAATCTTGTTACAATTCCTCTTCAAATTAATGATGAGTTACACAAGGGTGACGGATCCAAGAAGACTACTCTTATGTTTAATGTATTAAAGTACTAATTAAGATAAATCAACTAACAAGGAATCACACAAAAAGTTAATTGATCCTGGGATTGTAGGTTACACAGTTGATGATTAGGCTAGATCTCAAGATGAAACGAAAAGTACATCAAGCTATGCTTTTACACTAGGAAATGGTGTATTTTCATGGTTGTTACAGAAGCAAGATACTACTGCACAATTTATGGCAGAAGCTGAGTAGGTTGCAGAATTTTCAGCAGTTTATCAAGCTCTTTGGCTTAGGAAAATTTTCTTAGGCCTAAGAGAACTTTAGGGAGGAACCACTAATATGTTATGTGTAGTACTGTTAAAACGGTTTGATAGTTCGGTTTGGGTTCAGTTTGAAATCGGTTCGGTTTGAAATCGGGTCGGTTTGAAATCGGTTCAAATGTCTTACGGGTCGGTTTCAGTTCGGTTTAAATAATTATCGGTTCGATTCGGTTTCGGTTTATTCTTTAACGATTTAAATTCGGTTCGGGTTGTAAACGGTCCGGGTAGTGAACGGTTCGGTGCAGACGGGTTGCGGTTTGTTAACGGTGCAGTGTAAACAGTTTTTATCCCGGTTTAAATTCGATTCGGGTAGTAAACGGTTCGGTGCAGACGGGTTGCGGTTTGTTAACGGTTCGGTGTAAACGGTTTTATCCCGGTTCAAACGGTTTCGGGTTAGAAACAGTTCGGTTCTTTTTTGGTTTAATTTTATTTTAGTTCGGTTTATAACTGATTCGGTTCGTTAACGGGTTCGTTTCTTCAACTATTTAACATTATTCGGATCGGTTTTATTTCAGGATTACTAAATTACGGTTTGGGTCTGTTTTTTATTTCAAAAAATTGGTTTTTTATCGAGTTGTTTGGATTCGGGCAATTAAACGGTTTTGGTTTGAAATTTGATACTACTTTCTAACTTTTTGTTGGTTAACAAGTTTTATATCAAGCCGAGTCTTCATCACTTCATATTGAAGCATCATATTATATGCAAATTCTCATTAATTTTATAAATACATATCATGTTATGTTTCAAGTTTAGCCATACTGATCTTACTAGTTTATTACAAAGTAGATTATAAAAGTTTAGTGCAATAATGTATTATTGTTTTACTATCAGATTATTATCTGATTATTATTTGATCATTTAATTAATAGTGTCATAATTATGATTTGATGAGTTGTTGTGACATCGAAATTTGCAATTTGGTATTCGATACTTAATTAGTCAACAAGACTGATAATTAAGACTCGTTTATCATTATATATTTGCATAAAGTTTTATATGAAGATATTACAAATTAGTTTGATTTGTTTAATGAAAGAAAACATTAATGAATAAGATGGTAATATTGATTCTTTCAATCAATTATACATATACATAACATCTAACCATCTCATATTCTCATAGTTAAATATTTATTAGTATAAAGGGATGAGAATCATAAGATTATTATACTTTTGTATATCCTTTAATGGTTTACCCCTAAGGCTTAAGTCGCTAATTAGTAATTAGTAATTACTTAATTAGACTAACAAGTTAATAAGAAAGAGTAACTTTTAACTTGAGTCTAATAGATCAAATACTGAAATGCTATTAGTATATTACCGAGTAGGATAGTCTAGTACACTGTTAATCTGTTATACAACTATGCTAAATTAACAATTGCTCATATAGTCATATTAGTCAATCACTCATGTAGTCATATTAAATTAAGTAATTTGTATTTATGTACTAATCTACTAGTCAATTTGGATGTGCTCATTGAGGTGTGTTTAATACTTGCTTTCACTTTGGCTAATTGAATGCATGATCTAATTAATTAATAAACATGTGCGCATAATAATTATGTTTCAAATAAAAGAAAAAATAAAACACATATGTGCATAATTAGATTTTATTTAAAATACCTTTTAACTTGGTTTTAATCTTTTCTTTATAGTTAGTGGTTTGTAAACGGTTCAATTTATAAGCGATTCGGTTCATAAATGGTTCGGTTTATAAACGGTTCGGTTTATAATCAGTTCGGTCGGTTTGGCGCAAACGGGTTCGGTTTGTTAACGCTTCGGTGTAAATGGTTTTTATGCCAGTTCAAACGGTTTCGGGTTAGGAACGGTTCGGTTCATTTTCAGTTCGGTTTAGATTTGGTTCGGTTCTTAAACAGTTTAACGTTACTCGGATCGGTTCGGTTTCGGGTTTACTAAAATGCAGTTCGGGTCGGTTTTCGGTTTCAAACATTCAGTTTTTAATCGGTTCGGTTCTCATTCGGATCGGTTTGAACCAATTCGGTTCGGTTTTTAACAGTGCTACTTATGTGATAACAAGTCTGCAATTGCAATTGAAAGAATCCAGTCTTTCACCAAAAAATAAACATATCAAGGTGAAATATCATTTCATACGAGAAGCTGAAAGTGATAGTGATTTCAAGTTAAACTAGTGTAAGGGGGACGACCAAGTTGCCGATACTTTTATAAAAGCCCTTCCGAAGGGCAGGTTCGAATCAGTAAGACACATGCTCAGGATGAGAAAGAAGAGTTCCAAGGATTAAATTTGGAACTCTTTGTGTGGCATATTATTTATGTCTAATTAATTTGTAATTCTAAATTAAGCATTTTGTATTATATATATATCCTTACATTGAATGTTAGGATTATGGCATTTTTCTCATAATCTTATAGCTAATAATACAGTATACTATATTAGCATGGAAAAAAGTTGCATATAACTTGCACCTACCGATTCAGCTAAAATACAGTATACTATAACTTTTTTTTTTTTTTTTTTTTTTTAATGCTAATGTATTCTGATGCTTCTCTCGGATGCAGGACATCACCTTGCTTGCAGCTGAAAACACAACATACAAGAGCAGATGATTTCATCATGCTGATATTTTGCTATTCTTTCTCCAGGCTTCCTAAATCTCCCAATCTAGTATCTATGCAAAACACAGAAGCTGTTGCAAACTATCAGCTCATCAAACACTGAGATGTGCTGTCAAGTTCTAGAGATCAGACAAAAAAATAGCAATATATTACCCTTACATAGCCACTAAAGTTTCAAGATGTTTTCTGCTTGTGGATGGAAATATCGCCATGAAGATAGGCTATGCAAGCCAAGAAAAATAATGTAAAGATGGATACCAAGATCAGTGGCTCAACAAGCATGAAGGCGGGGTTGAAATCGTAATAAACCTGCATGGAAAATGGATGATCAGAAAGCTTTACAGCACATTGAATACCAATATTACAGCTTTACAACTAGAAGGAGCTAGAAGCCTCTTTGTAATACAAAACTGTGTAGATTACAGCCCCAAGCTATAAGGCCTATGACTGCATGCAATGTCATAGGCAGTCAAACAGTGATGACAAAACCTTGATATATGTATGCAAGTGTAAGAAACAAAAGGCACTATACATGCATTTATGCTGTATCATATAGCTGGGATGTAATGGACTGAGTTCGGTCCCCAGCAAAGTCAATGTAACAGCAAGGATATCTGATTGTTAACTAGCAAATTAATAAAGAAGAAAGCTTTAAGATTGATTGATAATGGTGGAAGGGTTACAAGGATAGGTTAATAGCTTAAGGCTATCAATCTTCGATAGTGAGTTTAGCTCACAACTCTCCAATAATGGCTTTAGGCCATAACTCTCCAAAAGGTTCACACCAAATTTCTGCCTAGCTTTCTTCTACTCCTCTCTACCTATTTATACCAAGGACAATCAACCTAGCAAACTAAATTACGAAAATACCCATACTACCCCCCCCCCCCCTAGGTTAGTCTATTACATGGGAGTTAAATTTCTAACATCCAGAAGACCATAAGCATATGAGGTGCGCTATGAAATAAATAAAATAAATAAAATTAAATAAACTTTTATGATATCTTTATCCTTCGCAGCACCTAGGCTCTGCCGTTCTGCACACACATACCAACCCACATTGCCTGTTTGTAACCTACTAACTAATCAGAACAAGAACTGAAAATATGCAAGCATTTCTATTGTGACCAATATCTAGATGCTGAACTTCTAGCAATACCCAGAAGCCGAAGGGTGTTTTTTCAATGATCATTATGAATATAGTGACAGAGAAGTTAGTGAAGGATTTTGGCAGCTATAGTTGACGAGGAAGATGAAAATCAGATACAACTAGAAATAGCTTACGGGGAGAAACTGCTCCACGACAGTATTGCAAAATCAAAGTTGGATGAGAAGACAGCAGATGACATAAAGGTCTGAAAACAGATGACATAAAGGTCTAAAAACTGCAAGGCTGAGATTTATAATCAACGGACAAAGGGTGCGGTATCTGACAGTAACATAGAGATCAATGACCCTGTTACCATTAACCCTAAGAGATACATAGGAGATTACGATTTTTGAGGCACAATAAATAAAGAAGCATAAATAAAACCGTAAAACTGTTTTCACATTTATAAAATCCTAGAATGGTGACAAAATCAAAAGAAATTGATGGGGTTGGAGACTATGAAGGTCAGCAAAATGAGGTTTTGTTTGCATATCTTTCCATCAATGGCTTTTAGTTGGCTTCTGTTTCTCTCTTCCTGATTTTCACTTGAAAATTTAATCCATTAACAGCTTTCAGTTGTGATGTGTAGAGTTAGCTCATGTGTGGGTTTTGGTTGCATTTTAGTCATTAGATGTGATAGTGGCTGAGCGGTAATTGTGGTTCTTCATTTGGATTTGCTTGCATGCTGATTGTTTGCTTGTGCTTCAACAACAAGGGCTCAAACTTTCAGCTAGTTCCAGATAGCATGAACAATTTCTTATTTTCTTGCTTTATTTAGCATAAAGCTGGTTCATATTGGCAATTTGTTGAACTTATTTACAATAATGATATAAAATGCTTAGATAATTTCATCAAAGGGGAGGTTCTATAAATCACAGTCCATGCATTTTCAATACACATCAAGGTGTTGATACCAGAGGTTGGAGATAAAAATTTTAATCCACCCTAAAACCCATCTGGTGGAATTTAAGTATTTACACAATACTGGGGGAGGCCCCGGTTAATATCAGCCTGATATACATTTGATGTATATCAGGTGGCATTTTTGCAATATTGAACATTAAAAAAACGGATTTTTCACCATATACCACTGAGTTAAAGCTTAATTCACCATATACCACCAAAAACTTTCTAATACACCATGTACCACTGAGTTTAACATAAATGTCACAACATGCCATTAATGACTAACGGACGTTAACACCGTTAGTCATTAAGGCTAATAATGCCACGTGACAACATATAATTGGTTCCCTTTTAAATTATTTAATTTTAAATATTATTTAATTAATTATCAAAAAATTAAAAAAAATAAATAAATAAATCCCAGCCACCACCAACGTCCCCCCACCCAACCACCACCCTATCCCGACACCCCCGCCGGCACGAAATCCGACCAGAAACCCCGCGTCGGCGCGGAATCCGACCAAAACCCCCCGCCGGCACCGTGGTCGCATCCCCCTCAAAAAACCCTCCCCTAACCTCCGTGCCCGCATCTCCCTCGAAAAACCCCCTATCTCCCTCGAAAAACCCTCTCCTAACCACCGGTCGGCGCCCAAACCCCCCTCCCCTGCGTCGGCGAACGAATTTGCCCTGTCCTGGTGCCATCTCCACCCCACGGAACCACCACGTACGCCGAAATCCTAAAACCAAAATCTAGGGTTTCGATTTTGATGTTTTTGGGTTTCGTCGTGGTGGTTTTCGGCTAGTTGGGCGGCAGCGACGTGTGGGAGAGGGTTTGGGCTTCCAGCGCAGGGGTTTCAGGGTGGTGGCTGGGTTTTTGGCTAAGGTGAAAAGGTGGGGAGGGGTTGAATTCGGCGAAAGTGATGGCTGGGGAATTCGGCTAAGGTAATGGTTGGGCTTTCGACTAAGGTGGTGATTGGGATCGGGGTTGTCCTCGGCGGGAGAGGGGGATGGTCGTCGGCCGGTCGGGAAGAGGCAGGTCGCCGGCAGAGGTGGCAATGGCTTGTAATGGTGGTGTTTCATTTTTGTTTAACTTTTTAAATAATTTCTCCAAAGTTAATTAATTAAATAAATAATATTAATAAGAACCAATTACAAGCTGCCACGTGGCACAATTAACGTTAATGACTAACTGAGTTAACGGAAAGGGCATGTTGTGACATTTATGTTTAAACTCAGTGGTACATGGTGTATTAGAATGTTTTTTGTGGTATATGGTGAATTAAGCTTTAACTCAGTGGTATATGGTGAAAAATCCGTAAAAACAAAAAAAGAAAAAAAAATAAATATATATATATATATATATATATATATATATATATATATATATATATATATATAAAGAAAGAAAGGATAGATCTACAATGATTTCCACCATTACAGCCACTACCAATACCATCACTATCCATCACCGATCAACCACGAACCATCATCTCTATCTTCGCGTCCATCACCATTACAACCACCACCACCATCTTCGTCTCAGCCGCCATCACCATCACAGCCCATCACAACCACCACCATCTTCACATCCATCACCATCACATCCCCATGTTCCTCTTCGCGACCCTCTTCTTCGTCCCTTCTTCCTCATTTCTCAACAACGACCCAACGCCGCAGTAACAATAAGACACCCTAGTAGCAAACGGTGTAAATTAGGGCCATAGCAACCCCTTAGGGGAAGCCTAGCCATCGCGGCGGCATTTTGAACTGCCACAGGTGGTGGTATCGTTGGTGTGCAGGTTTACTGGCTTGGAGGAAAAAGGTGGGTGGGAATGGAGAATGGAGGAAGAAAGTGATGAAAATACAAAAATACCCTCAATTAAATAACTAAAATGACATTAATACCCCCTAATTTGCATACAAATAAAATGACCAGACCAATGTGCTACTTTAAAATGACCAGACCCGCAAAGAAAAACCAATTCGATCCAATCTGACCCACCAATGTGCTACTCCCTCACACCCTTGTCAATACACTAATCTCTAGCCATTGTTGATCAATGCACACTCCTATCATACTAAGTCCCACACCACCCCCATATTATTATTGTAAAATGCCAATATATGCTTACACATGAATTATATATAGTGGTCTATGTTTGGAGGTATTTTGTATATACTACTTCCGTTTTTTTTTTAAGTTGACACGTATTCCTTTTTAGAAAGTTTATTTGTAGTGAACACGTTTCCTTTTTGGATAAGTTTAACACTTTGCATTTACTAGTCTACCCCACTTGCTTCATCATTCTCTCTCCTCTCCTTATTATGTGTGCCTAAATTGAACACGTCAACTATTAACAGCGGAAGTATAAGACATTTGAATTGTGCTTTTGTTCCATATTGTTTGGTATTGCAATTTTGAGACGAGAAGGATTACTATGTTAGCTTTAGACAGTTTCCATTGTTATTAACTCGGATTTTAAAAATTTTAAACTTTTGGGAATTATGAACTACCCCTCCATTTTTTTTAATGCCCCATTAGAGCTCGGCACACAACCTAACGCAAAACTTTGACCAATAATATCAATAATTATCAATAAGTATAAATTACAACAATTGAATATAGATAATCTATTCATTGAGACGATTCCAACAAGTACCCACAAGACTATATTAAATATTATGTATAATTTACAAACATTGGTTAAAGTGAGTAAAGTAAATGGTGCCAAAAGTCCAAATGGGGCACTTAAAAAAGCGGAGGGAGTATTATCATTACTAGAGTATCATACATTCATCTTCATTAATGGATTGTATTGCTCATGGTCTCATGCCGAAAACAAGAGCCCTTAACTTGCTATGTTGACCCAAAGCTTAACATTCTTATCATGTTCAAGTGATAATGCTTTGCTTGCTTGCTAGAACGCCTTAATCCCATAACTAGGGTCGGCTACATGAGCCAACACGAGGACTTCCCAAGAAAACCCATCCTAGTACTACTCTCAATCATTGTGGCTCATCTGGCTCATGTTCAAGTGATAATAAAAATTTAATTTAACCAACCTAAAAATGATCCAAACCAGGATTCACCAGGGTCTAGTTTTGGTGGGACGCTATCATATATTCAAGTCATAATTATTCTGGCCACTTGTTATGCCCTCCATTATTAAAACACCATTACACTACTAAGTTTTGACAGCATCCTTAAAACCCATATGACCATCGAGGTTGACAAAATCTAACATAAGCATGCTTTTAGAGCATTTCTTTGATAGTATAACCTAATGGACACTATTGGTGGTCGTGATCACTTGATGTAGAAAAAAAAATCTTATACCCAAAAGACGACAAAGCACACTTCCTCCGTTTTCGAAAGTTTGACTCACTATCTGTTTTGGGGTGTTTCTAAAAAATTCAACTCACTTATACTTTACTCTATATATAGGAACACTTTTTCCCCTTACCCCCACAAGATTTACACATTTCCACTCATTCTTTTTTACATTCACCCATCTTTTTAACTAAATGTTACTTTATTCTCTATATAGATAGAAATACTTAATCCTCCTTCACCATATTTACACCTTTCTAGAATTCCATTCACTCTTTTCTTATAACCACACCTTTTTACTCACTTTATACGAAGTATACCTTTTTCTTACACCCACTCACTCTATTCAAACTTGATTCTCTATATAGATTAGAAGTACTTTATCCTCCTTACACCAAAAGATTAACACCTTTCCATAGTTCCACTCACTCTTTTTTACAACCACCCATCTTTTTACTTGCTTTTATACGTAGTATACCTTTCCATGATTATCATGCTATGTCCTTTTTTTTTATATCGGACGGTTCCTAATGACGATTCACGTTAGCTGACCCCAAATCATTTTGGACTAAGACTTTATTGTTGTTATTGTTGTTGATACTTTTTTCTTACATACTCTATTCAAACTTTATTCTCTACATAGATAGAAATACTTTATCCTCCTTTCCCCACAATATTTACACCTTTCTATAATTCTACTCTCTCTTGGAACCACCCACCTTTTACTTACATTACAAAGTATACCTTTTTCTAATTCCCACTCTATTTAAACTTTCCTAGGAACAAAAGTCTATAATGGCAAAGTTGAACCTTCAGGAACATTGGTTGTACAAAGAATTAATTGATACATTCTTGATAAAGACAAGTAGTTTTAAATTAGAAAAATTACAAAGAGCTTAGAGAAGGCACAATATTTCATATACTGTTTACACATTTACATAACTTGTAACTTTCAAAGTAACTAACAGCCGAAAATAATACGAATGCAGACACAAGTTACACAATATAACATTAAATGTTTAATGCCAAAATTTGTTACCACTAGGATTCTTAATACAAAGTATAATTCATTGCATTTTACGTCAAAATAATCATTAAAAATTTTGTTTTTTAAAAATACCACAGAAAAAATAATAATATTAAATAATAAAAAAGAAAAGAAGAAAGTTGTCACCTGAAAGGGTGAGTTGTGCTCTGGCACCACGTTCTTCTTTTCCAAAACCACAACAGTTCTTCCAAGTACATCCAGATATGAATAAGTGGTCTGCAAAGTGTGCAAACATCAGAAGAATCAGGAATCATGAAATGAGCCTGTTAAGTAAAAATGTCTCCACAAAATAAACATAGATCAAGTTTTCCTCCCCCACTGTGTCCTCTCATTTCCTATCCGTCCCCCCCAAGTACCAAAGATCCAATTACATTCACGTCACAGCTTTGACAGCCTGTTGAACGGTTGAATAGCCTCAAGGCATAGGGAGCATAGAGGCCCAAAGCACAACATGAAGTGCATACCTTATTAAAGTGCTCCTAGATGCACATTAGTATGCCTCGTTAAAAATGCCTAGCCCAGACCAATTTTAGATGGGCTTTAGCGCCTAATTACATAACTGTAAAGTGGTCATAGGATGACTACTTAAATGTATACTAAAACAAAGTTTCTTTCAATGTCTTCCACTCCCCTTCACAACTTTATCTCTTCAGGTTCTCCATTTTTGTTATCATTGAACAGCAGAATTACAACTAGAAAAATTTATATAAATACCAACTATAATTGATTTTTTTTTACACTAGAAATATCTCATAAATATTAATCATAAAGACGGTTAATGTAACAAAATACTTTGTGCAACATAATTGAGGGAGAGAATAAAAATTAGGCATTAATATACAATATAATGTTAACTATTACTGTTATAAGCCCATTTGCAAAAACAACTTTATTCAATCATATGGATATATGTGATTGTTAGGATTGATATAAACATAGTAATTTTCAGTTAAAATGATTCTATATATGTTAATAGTTCGCTTTATGATAAATACTACCTCCAATCTTTTATGTTTTACTCACTGATGTGAGTGGGTATAAGATAAAGAAAGAGAGAGTGTAAAAAAGGTGGGTTTGTTTAACAAAAAAATGAATAAAGTGAAAGAGAGAGATGAAAGCTGTAATTATGATGCAGTTAAAGGGGTAAGATGATAAAAAGGGTATGCCATAAATAAAATAAAGCAAAGTGAGTAAAACGATAAAAAAAGGCCCAAAATAGAAAGTGAGTAGAGCAAAAAAAGGATGGAGTAACATTTGTTTTTACTAAGTGTAGTAATTAGGCTCTAGTTATTACACAAGGAATCCTGTACATCAACTAAGAAAATAACTATTCCCTCTGTTTCAATTTGATAGTCTCATTTTGACTTTGCACGGTCTTTTATATGTTCCTTTGACCATAAAAAAATTTGATATTATAAAACTACACATCAAGACGAATCTAACAATATATCACAAATATATATATATATATATATATATATATATGAATTTTTGGTCAAAGTTTTAATAGTTTGAAGATAAAAAAAAAAAAAAAAAAGTCAAAATAGGACTATCAAATTAAAACGGAGGGAGTATTATTGGACCAACAAATTGTAATTCCTTACAAAATTTTGATATGTTAATGTTAATGTAATAATCCCTCCGTCTCACAATACAAAGCTTAAAACTAATGATTAGAAGTACATATGTGCATGTGGGGTTAGAGAGAGATAGAGAGAAAGAAACGTAGTTGGCAATAATTAAAGAGATAGGTATAGAAAGTGTTGGCAATTAATATTAAAAGTACAAAAAAAAAAGAAATGGAAAAAAGATGACAACTCATCAAAAAGAGGGTAATAAAGTCAAAAAGTACAACCTTTAAACAGAAATAGGCATTGTAGTTTAATATACCCTAAAAGGAAAACAACTTTGTATTATGAGACGGAGGGTATATTTTGTATAATTAATGTACCTCCATATATTATTATGTGCAATAAAGGAATATTTTACATCTTACAAATAATACCCCTTTGTAGTATATAATATTTGAATGTCACTACTTTATTATTTTATTTTTCTATTTAAATGAATTTTAGTCAATTCTATTTTAGAAATTCGGTTAAAAAAATTTCTGTCAAAAAATTTCTGTAAAAAAAGGAAAAAAAAAAAAAAAAAAAAAACCGAGTACCCGGTTTTGGAACCGGTTCCAAATTTATTGGACCCCGTTAGAACCGGTTCCAAAACCAATTCCAATCTTTCGGACCCAATTCTAACCAGTTCCAGGTACGGTGTTTTTGACCGAATACTGGATTATTCTCGGCCCTAGTGAATAGTGTAAAAGTCCAAATGTTACACTAAGTAAAAAGAGTAAAAAACAGAGGAAGTATTTGACACTGCCACATTCATTATAGCCTTATAGGCATTGGATCAACATACGAACCATTAAATTTTAATACTAAAGTCATTTCTTCATGAAATTCACAAATGAAATATTGAATCATACATTGATAACTATAGGATTGTTAAAACCCTGCCATTTCTTATAAATAAGTCGAGGTTCTCTCTATTTCTTTCCAACACTCTACAGCAATGCAATCTCAACATAATAAGATGTGATTTTCTATCATCATTGCAATAATGACAAGGATCATTGTTATGTTATGTATATGAAATTATAAACCATGGCCTATTATTCCAGAAACTACATATATCAAAAATGTATCACGTTTGTCTAAGTTGAAGTATTGTTCAACAGCTAATTGATAATCCATGAAGTTGATAAATGATAAAGACAAAAGATATAGCAAGTTTTAGGTATAATTAAAAATGCATAACTATATAGACAATGAAAGGAAGATGTGCCTATGATAATGTATATAGTGTATGCATGAAAAAAAAAATGGTTAAGTGTCACAGTCAGATTGAATTTCAATTAAACCACAAAGAACAAAAAAGAAAGGAAAATTTGTGAAAGTGTTGATCTACCTCCAAATGTTGTTCCACTGTAAAAGGCGCCGAAACTGTAGAATTTTTAGAGCCCTCTGGCAGAGCTACCTAAAATTGAGAAAGAAGGTGATAAGAGAAATTCAGCTGGAAGATTGGATAGAAGCAAACCACAAGATTTGGTCAATTAAAAGTTCAATATACCTTAATTGTTAGCTTATTCACGACAGTCTCTGCCATAGGGCATCCAAAAGTGAAATTTAAATAACGCTGCTTGCCATCATTTGACTCATAAAGGAAATCTTCCAAAGGTAATCTATATCCAATAACAAAAGTAGCTCTCCAACCACCAAATAAAGGATAGCGAGGCTCTATTTCCAGTTCTGACTGCATGAATACAAGCATACCCTTTAGAAAGTTGTATTATTTACAAAATGATGTTGTCAAATTGAATGTTTCCTGATACGTAGAGCATACAGCATGCTAACTATGTACAGGAACTGTATTACTTAAACAGAATAATAAATCACTTTCCAGAAGTAATATTATTTAGTCAAGCACATACAATTAAAACACATCCAAAAAATATCATTCTTTGATTAAATTTTGAAAGGAAATAAATATTATAAAAAAACAAAAAAAAAAAAAAAAAAATCCCCCTTCAAGGGCCATGCCTGCACCTTGTGTCTTCCTACAACTAATTAACTTTCCACCTGCTCTCCAAAGGGTGAGGATGCTCCAGATAAATTACGAACATATAAGTACCTCCATGTTACTATCACCCATTGAATGGTCCAACAAAAAAAAAAAAAAATAAATAAATAAATAACAACCAATAATGAAATGTATAAAGATGGGAAGAGAGAAGGCAATGAACATTCTGCAGAAGTTCAAGGGCTGTTGGACAGAATTGTTTTCAATTTTTCCATTTTGTTGGGTTTTAACCAATATCTTAGCTTAATTATATATATAGTTCATGAGGGTTTGGTCATGGCTTCCACTTTGTAATGATCTTGCTAGTTTACTCTTAAGGTTTTGTTAATGAATTAAATATCATAGTTTGGGTAACTTGTAGTTATTCTGAACCTAAATAAGATTAAACTTCCTTTTGACAACCCTTTAAGCATTGGGTAACTTATGTTAGTTATGTTTATAAATCCCAATATCCTACAGAATGCCTAGCCACACATTAGAGGAAAAATCCTGTTTTAAATAAAGAACTACACACACATAACCTTATTGATCAACTGAATAGGCTAAGCATATATTTATTGTATTACCTTCTTCAAGTTCAAACGCAAACGTGATGTTGAGATATTTCCTATTTCATCTCTGTAGTAAACCGAGTTTACCCGAGGAGGTAGTGTTGCAAGTAGCTGTTTAAATGAAGCTACACCGCTCACAGAAGGCTTAGACTGATAGTCCACCCTGCCACATAAATATTTACAAAAATTGCCTTAATATGCATTCGAGCATCAAATTAGGAATCCATCAAACCATTGGAGCAATATTTAACAGATTAGTTTTGAACACTAGCATTAGAGCCAATACATTAGGCAGGACCATGAGAGACACAAATGCCTATCAAAATAATATAAGGCAAGTCCTTAGAATACGACTACAAATTTTACATCAATTTTTATCATGAGGAAACATATTATCACATGTCTGCATCATCTAACAAAGAAATCTAGGGTTCACAAGTTTCTATTTTATTAAAATCATGAGGAAATCCAGAGATTACCACATGTGTGCAGAGCGCAAAGCGTCACTTATGGTGAAGCATCACGAGGTGCTTGCACAGCAATTATACAAGATTTAGCTAAGAAGCGTGCTTGTAGATGCATTGCTAACTATACAACCATAACCAACTGTTTAGCCATGTCTGATGTCTCTATTACAGTTTGGTGTTCAATACAAAAGATTACTGTGCCATTGATCTACAGCTAAAGATGGATCTTTTGTCATATTCAGCCATCCTTACGCTAGTATTCCAGGTATTAAGAGAAATTAAATTCTTCCCAAGGTTAGTTCTTCTAATCATTTTTAATTTTAAACAGTAGCTAAAAGCATCGCTATAAGGTCTGAGGAAAATTGACTCATCTACAAACCTCAATAGCGCAAATATTCAATACCTGGAAAATGCACCTTTCAGCCGAGCACCAGCATGAGCCAGTGTGTATTGTTCTCTAACTTGTATGCTTCCCCAATGTGAGATCTCAACTTCACGTACAAGCTCCTCAACAACAACAAATGGGTTGTTGTTTTCAAAGTGCACAATAATGGGTGAAAATGAGTGCGGAGGCTGATCAGCATATGGACCATATTTCACCTCAAGACCAGCACGGTTGGTGGGCTCCACATGTGTGAATGATTCCACTCTAGTACTTGCAGTCCTTATAAAAGTCGTCTGTTGATCAATATGATATGGAGACAGGATGATTGCACTATCACGGTAGTAAACCAACTGAGATTCCGATTGGCTAATTTCTATTGGGAATGGCTCAAGAGACTGTGTTAATATGTACAGGACCTCAAGCGTTACAGTTTCACCTGCCTTCAAAGGACTAAGCAAAGTGGCAGAAAAGTATTTTGTTTCATTCGGCCCATCAGGAAGCTTAGGACTGACATCAAGAGATTTGTATGTTTTTCTCTTTTTCTTTCCCACCGGTACAGCTGCTTTTAACAATGCAATATGATCAATTTGGGCTGGAGGAAAAGCAAAGATGACTTCTGAACTGGGAGACGTTCCTTTATTTTCAACCTGAAGCACTTTAGCACATCACATACGGCACCACAAACTATAATCAAATGTGCATATGCATATGTGTGCATATACACAACAAATATATGTGTGTGCGTGTCTTTTTTGAACATCTCTGTGTGAAACATGTCTATCCTTTTTAAAAATACATCTCAAACTAGATAAACCTTTCAGCATTATAAGATGCAACAGAATAATACTTACACACATCATAATATCAATACAATCAAAACCATGCAAAATTCAACTCTGAGAATAAGATTTCAAACAAAATTGACATCAAATTGATATAGCTCCATTTCCTGTCAGAATGTCCATAATAATCTAATCCTAACGGATGCATTTCATCTTTTCAAGGTTCAAATACTGCTAAATTTACAGTCCAATAACCCCCTAGCACAGCTCTATTCCCCAAGCTAACCGGAAACAAATAAAACGCGCTACATGAACACTGCTAACATCATATTCACCCCACACTATTTCTAACCGGAATTCGACTGACGTTTCATATAACAGAAGATAAATGTTTAAAATTGGAATAAATATACCTGTAGAGTCAAGAACACCTTGATGATGTGGGAAGTCAAATCGATCTGCAAAACAAAACAAAACAAAAAAAAAAAAAAAAATGGCAACTCAAATTTCTCGTAATTAAGGATACAATACAATTCATCGTAAAATAAAAATCACAATGCCAAGCTCTTAAACATAGCAATAATTAATCAGCCATCAATTTCATCCAGATTCAACAACCATTTTTTATTGAAATCGAGAAAATTACACAGATTGATTAATTGCACTGAAAATAAATAAATTTTAATTGAGTACATACGTAAAAAATTTGAGGAAAAAAATATCGATTTAAAGTAAATTCATACTCTGCGCTCAGCATAAGTGATCCGCAGGTCATGTTGAGTAGCCGTTGAGGATGATCCAAGAATGAAAGAGAGAAAAAAGAGGAGAGAGAAAATTGAGGCATTGCGAAGTTTGAGTTCTATCGCCATTGATGGATTCTAGCTTGAACGCTGCGAGAGTGCGAGGACTTTGAGAAGACCTGGAAATTGGGGGAAAGAGGGAGTGTTAATAGAGTGAAGGAAACGATCGAATGTTTTGGGTCAGGTTTTTTGGGTCGGGTATGTTTGGAATCAGTCTTGTTTGGAAAAGATTTTTTTTTTCTTTTTTAAGTGAAGTTTTATACAGATTTCGTATCATCCTCTCCCTACTATTTCCTAGATTTTTTATGAAACTGAGCCTAATTGAAAAACAATTTACGAAAATAGACGCGTGGCAAAACTATTTACGAAATTGAGCTTCAGAGGTTCGGTCAGCGTTTTATTCCTTTTTATTTATTTTTTTTTAAATTTCGTATTTTAAAATGCCAAATTAAAAAAACATGAAATACAATGAAACGCTGACTGAGGCAGCGTTTTTAGGTAGGTCCTAAAACGCTGCCTGAGGCAGCGTTTCATTGACAAGGGAAAGACGCTGCCTCAGTCAGCGGTTTTTGCTGGTATATTGCCACAGAAAACCGCGACATCACATTATTCACTCTACTTCAAACTCTCTCAAACTTGCTCAAACTCTCTAAAACGGATATTCCGTCGTTGTACTAGGCCTCCCCGCCACCGGAAAGTGTGCTGCTGCCGCCGCCGTCGCCGCCTTGTTGGTACTCTCTCTCAAACTCTCCTCTTCATATAATGACATTGTTGGTACTTCTCTTCGTTTTTAAAATTTTAAAACCTAGGTTAGTTTGATAATTATATAGTACATTGTTTTAATTTGATAATGTTGTTGATTATTCTAAGTTAGTTTGATGTAAATTGATAATTATGTTGATAATTCTAAGTTAGTTTGTTGTAATTTGATAATAGTTTAGTATAAAAGCCCTAAATTGATGTTAGTTTAGTAAGAAAGTTTATGATGAAATTGTGGAAATGTTTGGTAAAAATGTTGAAAATGTTGATGAAATTGTTGATATTGTTGATGAAATTGTTGTTTTAATTTGATAAAATAGCCTACATTGTCGTTTAATTACGAAAATTATGTTATGTAGAATACGTTGGTTGTTAGTGTGAATATGTTCGTTGTGTACTTTGTTTTGTTTGTTATGTGAATTGGAACAATGATGGTTAATTATGTTTGTAGTGTGAATTTCTTGGTTGTTATTGTGCGAATTAGTGGAGATTGCATGCAATTAAGATGTGTTTTTGGTTGTTGTATAGAATATGGCTGCACAAAACGCAGCTTTGTTATGCCGATAGGGGGGTGAATTTGTGTCTGATGGACCGAATGTCCAGTATAGTGGTGGAAATATGGAACCATTGCCACTTGGACCAGACATGACTTTCAACGATCTGATGAACGAGGTTCATAGCATTATTGGCTTAAACCGAATGAATGTACAACTTAACATTCAAATGAGGTTTGAGACTAATAATGCGGTTCAAGTGTTACCTTGTTCTAACGATAGACATTTGAAAGCTTTGAGGAGCGCTGTTTTAATGAGGGGTTATCCACATGAGATATATGTAGAAATAGTGTCTACGTGTACGCAACAAAGTACTCGACCAAATCAACAAACTAGTTATTTTTCCGGTTACACAGAGTCCTTCCGAATGCCCTCACAAGACATTCCATCAACTGAATATGGGATGGGGTCCTTCAGCAGACTGCTTCATGACGATCGGTTCCAAATGCCGTTGAGTTCACATATAGCTTCACCTGTATATGGTGGAACATCTACGACAATGTTTGGCCAATCTGGGCCTTCGACATCGAACACAGTTATATCTTCTCCCATGCAACTCCAAAGTTATTCACCTACGCAGCATGATGATCATACATCACCGTCTCAACCATTGGTGAATCATCTTGAAAATCTACAACATATGGTGAATAACGAGTTGTCTCTGTATGATGCGCTTCGGGAAACAAATGATGAGGCTGAGAGCGAAGAGGAGGAACCAATTCTGGATAACATGGATGTTGATTCTACAGACATGGAAGGTGGGGAGGCCATGGTTAGAACTCCTATTCCTTGGTTAAGTCAAGTAAATGAGAATTATGAGGTTGATCAATATTGGGCCGAATCAGGTAGTCATACAACATTTGTGATCGGGGGGAGTTTGAGAAGGGTATGTTCTTTGAATCTAAGAAACTGCTTCAGGAAATGGTGAAGAAGTATTCTATACAAAGGACCCAATTCTACACCACAGTGACCTCGAATGAGAAGGTCCTTCATCTGCGGTGCAAGAAGAATTGTGGTTGGTCGCTACGAGGCACCAAAAAAAGTGAGCACTCAGACAGCTTTACCATAGTCACATACAAAGGCCCGCACCGGGACACCTGTGTCACTTAAGTGTTATCTACAGATCATGCACACTTGTATTCATCCATAATTTTCGATTTTGTGAAGTCTTTTGTGCAGAAAGATCCATGCTTGAAAGTTAAATTTATACAGGAACTCATATCCAAGCATTTTCAGTTCGACGTTACTTATCGAAGAGCATTGTATGCTAGGGAGAAAGCCATAGCTGAAGTATTTGGAGATTGGGAAAGTTCTTATGGCCGACTTCCGCACTTCATGGAAGCACTCAAACAGTCAAACCCAGGAACCGTTGTTGTATGGAAACACAAAGCTCTGGTAGACGGTGTTTATTACAGCAACATGGAAGTGTTTGAACGAGTATTTTGGGACTTCGGCCCTTGTGTTGAAGGTTTTAAACATTGTATGTCTGTCATCTGTATCGATGGGACGCATTTGTACGGGAAATTTAAAGGAACATTGTTGGTTGCTACAAGTGTGGATGCAAACTTCCAAGTATTTCCGCTTGCATTTGCGTTAGTCGAAGGGTAAAACATTTCCAGCTAGTCTTGGTTTCTGGGCTGCATTCGGGTTCATGTCACTCAACGGGATGGCCTCTATGTTATATCTGATCGACATGCTGGGATCATTGCAGCAATGAATGACCCTAACGTTGGATTCACCGAGCCGCGAGCCTATCACAGGTTTTGTGTTCGGCACTTGGCTTCTAACTTGAAGACTCACGTGCGAAGAAACGACATGAGAGATATGTTCAAGGCTGCTGCGTACCAAAGGCAGGAAAGAAAACTGGTAGCTGATATGAGTTTGATCGGTCAGGCATGTACCAAGGCCATACAGTATATTGTCCAAGTGCCCTTGCCTATGTGGTCTTTGTTTCACGATGCTGGTCGCAGATATGGGATATGTACTACGAACTTCTCAGAAACATTAAACAATGTGTTGAAGGGTGCTCGATTTCTACCTATCATGTCCCTTGTTGAATTAACATTCCACAGAGTCATTAAGTATTTCACTGATAGAAGGGAATTATCTCAGGCTAGATCTGAACAGGGACTTGCATACTCCCCCAAAGTCACTTCCATTATGGAGAAAAACATTGCAAAGGCTAGATATCACAAAGTGGAAGCGTATAACCGTCGACTGCATATATATTAAGTTGAAACAAAGAGGGGAGATAGAATTGGTAGAAAAGGAGGCCATAGACATACTGCTAACTTTCAGTTAAGAACGTGCACATGCAATAAACCACGGATCTTCCGCAGTTTGTGCGAAGTATTCGATATCAGAGCAGCCATGGGTGGACCGGGTACTGCAATCAGAGGCCTACGCAAACACATACGCTCCCCAATTCTGGCCTATCCCTTGTGAGACGACATGGAGAGAGAATGGAGGGCCTAAACTCATTCCCGACAACAGCATGGTATGAGGACAAGGTCGCCCTAAGTCAAGGCGCATACGCAATGAAATGGATGAGACCAACCGCCCCGCGAGCAAATGCGGCCTCTGTCACCAGCAGGGTCACAACAAGAGATCGTGTCCCTCTAGATCGACCGGGCACTAATTTTTTTTTTCTGTTATCTAGAGTGATGTAGTAGAATAGAACGGTGATTGTATTTCTACATTTCAAATGATTGTAACAGTTGGATTTTTAGATTGAAGTATGAGATTTGAAATTATGTATTTTGTTATCGCTTATATGTAATTTTTACTTTTTAATTGTTGGATTATAACTATTTATGAACAGATACCATGGACACCCGAGATAGGACACCCGGACCCACCGACCCTTCTGTCCTTACACTACAGGACACACATCGTAGCGTTGACATTTGGAGTCAGTCGGTTGATCCGGCGGGCATACTGACATGCATGCACTACACTGTCGCGTTCCTTGGCGATTGGGTTATCGATCCCCGCATTCTGCCTTTCGTGGAGTACGATGGCTTCATGGGTATACATCGGATGGCGTTCAGAGAGGTCGACCCAGCGCTTGTTACTGCGCTTGTGGAGAGATGGAGGCAGGAGACGCACTCCCTCCATCTACCTGTTGGGGAGGCGACCGTGACGTTGCAAGACGTGGCGATACTCACACGGCTTCCCATTCATGGGAGTCCGGTGTCTGGATCTGCGTTGGCCGATCCCCCCGGTTATGTAGCTCAGGTTCTCGGGGTTCAGCCTGGCCCGGACGATATCAGGGGCGACTGATTGAGGACCGGATGGATACGCGACACTTTTCGTGTGTTGCCTGATGGTGCTGATGAGGCCACTATTGCGGGACATGCTCGAGCGTACCTTTTTCTGCTCATCTCGGGTGTGTTGTTCGGTGGCAAGAGTGGCAGCCATTTACAGATGATTTACCTGCAGCTGGTAGACCACGACTGGGAGCATATTCGTGGCTACAGCTGGGGTAGTGCTTGTCTGGCGATGTTGTATCGTCATCTGTGTAGAGCATCCCGCCAGGGTTCTCGTGAGATGAGCGGACCGTTATTTTTGCTTCAAGTAACCTACCTATCTGTTAACAATTTAATTCGGAAAGTTCTTACTTACTTTACAATTAACCTAGTTTTGTGTGTTTGATGTCCAGTATTGGTCTTGGGAGCACATCCATGTAGGCAGGCCAGGTAGGCCTGCTATACATCGTCAGGGGCAGCAGGATCAGGACCAGCAGTATGAGCGGTACATTCCTCCACCATGGCCTTCCGCTGACGAGGCGTACGCTTGCAGGTGGGCGGTCCCCAAGCTGACATATGCGCATGCGGCGAGGGGCCTGCCGTACTACCGAGACGCCCTTGATCGACTGACCGAGGATCAGGTGAAATCTTTAATTTGTTTATGAAATTGTTATTTATTATGTATACTCTTAACATATTTAATATGCACTAACCTGTTTATTATGTTACTTTTTATGTGTTATCGCAGATGACATGGGACCCGTATGAAGCTGATTTAGTTGCTGCCATGCCTCCACATCTGCTAGATCATCAGGCGTAGTGGCGTTCTAGGGTCCCCCTGATC